CCATCATAAAACCCTTTATTGCTCAAGCCAAAACATCTCATCAAGCTTGGATCATTTTATCCACCATATACACGACATCTTTTTGAGGACACATCAAGCAAGTTAAAAAGTCACCTTAAACAAATTGCTAAAGGATTAGATAGCGTGACCAAGTTCTTACAAAATGTCAAATCACGCTCATGATCTTGCTCTTGTTGGATCCCCAACTGATGCCGAAGACCTCATGGATAAAATGCTAGATGTCCTAGATGATGACTACAAGGAATTAATACATGTCATCCAAGCTAGAGATATCTCCATCAATTTTAAAGAACTTCATGAAAATTACATAACTTTGAAACCTTGGTGCTACCAACCTAGCCTCAGCATGTTCATTTTCTGGCCACTGCTAATCCTACTGGTCAAACTATACAACACTGGCATCCATCCTCTCACTCTGGCCACAATAACACTTCTTGATATCCTTCATCTAATAAAAACCACAACTACCATCCCTCATCCACGAGCGACACACCTACCACTCGCGAGAATCATCCATCTTGTCTATATCTTGGATACTATCAAATATGCAAACTCCAAGGCATTCGGAAAAACAGTGTCCCTAGTATCGGTTGGTCCCAAATCCCTCAAACACCAAATGCTCTCATATTCCATTGTCCAATACTCCAATATCGTGGCAACCCAGAGCCCATTATGCTTTCGACCATCCCTCTTATCTATTGTGGCTCTTGAACAATGGCGCATCTCACCATGTTACCTCTGACTTAAAAAATATATCGTTGCATACTCCATACAAAGGTTCCGATGTAACCTTACCACTTCTACACATAATTTTTAAATTACACAATCTACTATGTGTCCCTAGCATGAAAAAGAATCTAATCTCAAAATCTCAGTTCCACACTTCGAATCACGTTTCAGTTAAATTCTTACCATCCAATTTTTTGTAAAGGACCTTCGCACAGGCACCACTTCTAATGGACTAAACTAAAAGTGGTGTATATGAGTCGCTAACATCCACCCCATTGCTTGCCTTTTCCAGCTTTAAAACTTCCTTTTCCATGTGGCATCATAGATTAGGACATTCAGCAATTTCCATAAAGCACATTGTTTCCATTAATAACTTACAAGTTCTTACATTTTTGTCGTCTGATTTTTCATGCAACCACAAGTTATCTTTTTCCAACTCAACACTGGTCTCATCTCACCTGCTTGAAACTATATTCTCAGATGTGTGGGCTTTGCCATTAATTTCACATGATGGCTTTAAGTAATATGTTGTCTTTATTGATCATTATATACGATATATATGGTTCTATCCTATCAAACAAATTTTGGCGTAAAAGATATTTTTATTTGATTTAAAGCTATAGTGAAAAAACACTTTGGCAACCATATAATAACTTTATATTCGGACAATGGTGGCGAATATATCTCTCTTTCTCATTTTCTATCAATTAATAGTATATCCCATTTAACCACACCTCCTCATACCCCTGAAAACAATGATCTCGCTGAAAGACGACACCTTCATATTGTCGAAATTGGTCTAGCACTATTGTCTCATGCCTCACTCCCTCTAACATATTGGTCTCATGCTTTTGCTACAACTGTTTACTTAATCAACCGTATGCCAACACTGACATTGCACCACTTCTCACCATATGAAAGAATATTTAAAATTGCTCTTAACTAAGCCAAACTATGAATTAGCTAGGACCATATACATCTCGCAGGCTTGATTCTTGCTCTACACCTTGTATCTTCCTTGGTTACTCTTTTACACGGTGCATACTAATATCTTGATTCTTCAACTTCTAAAATCAAAGTCTCGCCATGTAAAGTTTGTCGAGTTTGTGTTCTCTTTACTCATGTATCTCATCAAGTCCCTCATATCATGCCATCTATGGTACTGCCACTCTACACGCCATCTGAAGTTGTAGCCTGCTAATATTCTTCCGGTACCATCTCCTCCCCATAGCCTTACTCTAATTTCATCGATTACTCACTCCTCTCCCAATAATTCCATGCCGCTACCTCTACCCCTTAATCTATTGATAAAACCTTCTCTGCCTACTCATGGCATGATCACTAGGGCCAAAAATTACATCCACAAGCCTCTCACAAAAATGAACCTCTATGTCCAATTATCGTCAATCCCTGATCTTGAACCCAACATTGTGACTCAAGCTCTAAAAGATGCCAAATGGTGTTGAGCTATGTGTAAGAGTATGATGCTCTAGTACGAAATGGAAAATGGGAGCTAGTTCCACCTAATTACTATGACACATTCATCAACATCTTGGCATTGATCACTATGAGACATTCAGTCTTGTTGTTAAGCCGACTACCGTCCTTATTGTTCTTTGTATAGAAATGAATTGTCGCCGGTCATTATGCCAACTTGACGTAAACAACACATTCCTTCAAGGTCATCTTTCTGAACATATCTGCATGGCTCAACCTCAAGGTTTTGTTGATTTAGACAATCCATCTTATATTTCCAAACTCCACAAAGCCATTTATGGTCTTAAACAGGTCCCTCTGGTGTGGTATCTTGAGCTTCGTATTCATTCTGGCTTTAAGAATTCCCATGCTAATTCTTCTCTCTTTATATTTACTGATGCTCGTCAAGTTATGTATCTCCTCATCTATGTTGATGATTCAATCCTTACCAGCGATAGTGTAACCATGGTCAACAATTTGTGGTTGTCCTAGCTCAAAGGTTCTCTCTTAAAGATTTCAGCTTACTAAATTACTTTTGGGTGTCGAAGTTGTTCCAAATAAACATGGCTTGCTGACTGCTGTTCTCTCAACAACTCTACATCCGTGAAATTCTAGCCCGAACCTTCATGCAAGACTCCAAACTAGTTCTTACTCCTTTGCCAACCAGTCCACCTCTTACGCTGACCTCAAGCTCTCCCTTGTCAGATCCTAGTGAGAATCGTACTATAGTTGGCAGTCTTCAATATCTCCTCATCACGACCCAACATTGCTTTTGCTGGCAATAAACTCTCATAGTATACGCATCAATAAACCACTGACCATGGGACATATGTTAAATGGCTCTTATGATACTTCTGGCACTCTTCATGATTGGTTGCAGCTATACTGTGATTCCTCTCTCACTTCACATGCCTTCTCTGATGGGCTAGCTATAAAAATGACATTTCCTCCACAAATGCCTATGTCATTTCTCTTGGTCGAAATCCAGTATTGTAGAGTTCTCAAAAGCATAGGAAAATGTCGCTTGATCATCAACAGAGGTTAAATATCATATTGTTGCTAATAGCATTGCAGAATGGATTTCCTATGTCTTTTCGGATCTTGGTGTTAAGGTATCCTCGTGTCATGTGATTTAATGTGATAACATTGGTGCCAATCAATAATGCTCCAACCTGATTTTCCATTAAAAAATGAAGCATGTTGCTATTAATTTTCATTTCATTTGGGATAAAGTTTAAAGTGGTGCTCTACGTGTTGCTCATATGTCCTTAGTCGATCAATTAGCTGATGCTCTCACAAAATCACTTCCACGTGCTCCTTTTTTTTAGCTAAAATTCAAGATTGGAACTGCTCTCGAGCCCAATCTTTAGGGGACATAATAACGGATATTATCCTCATTAGATCTTAATATTATCTTTAGAGATTGCTTTGAATTTTTAGATATTATCTGACTTTGTTGTTGTTGATACAGATTAAATTTCAAGATACTATCTCATCTGTACAGTTTAGATTTATCACACATAATAGTTTCTAGGAAAAGTTATGAAGTTGTTGTATAAATACTCAGTCAATGATCAATGAAAAAGTGTGGAAAACAATTCAGTTTATTATTTGTTAAACCATGGGAACCAAATCTTTATTATCAACTGCACATGATGCGTTTCTTCTTGAAAACTTGGTTGATTTGGTGGTGCTTAAGGCACCTATAAATTGTTTGGCTTGGAGGCCGGATGATGCTTCTCGTTCTCAGAGCCTGCCCAATTTGTTGAAGCAGTATAGTTTCCCCTTGAATCCTGAGTTTCACGTTGACAGCAGAGGCTCTGTTTGCTGCAGTAAGAACATTGGGCCAGTCCCTACCGCGAGTCCAATATGCTATGAGGATTTTGATTTCACGGACTCGAGTTTTCTTCCTTGTTTGTGTGGATTCAGGCACTTGACTTTTCTGATGGCTTGTTCCTGTGCACGATAACAAGATCGTATATTGTCTCTCTGTTTCCCTTGAACTTGTATCTCTTTTTTCTAAGGGTGTATTGTGTGTGGTGTGCTCTTGCTGTTTAAGATTCTCATTTTAATAGCATTAGATGTTGAAGCACAGACGAACCATTCTAGTTGTCGTATAATTTTATGGTGCTCGTATAAAAATAAACTTAAACACACTAATCCCATAAATAAAAATTGAAATTAACATAATGGGAACACTACAAAATTATTTTTAAAAAAAATGGATTGAATGGCCAACAAGTTGGGTAATTATCATTCCTCAGAAACAAAAGCATTTCTTACTTACTACCATAAAGATAAGAATCAAATGTTCTGGAGTCGTTTATCTGGTTCATCAACTTTTCTGCAAAGTAGATTGAAATCAACCAGTGGTGATTTGGACAAAAAATGGAGAAATTTTATGGTGCTTCCAAAGATGGAGAAACATTTTTTTTTACACTCGAGATTATAATTAGTACTCTAAACACAAAAAAGGTTTGTGATTCTAATACGGGACTTTTATTAGATGACGGCATCTTATTGAACAAATGTTAACCTTTTAAACTTTAAGTCGCATAACATAATGGCTGGGGCTGGCAAATAAAAGACGTATTCAAATCTCATGGCGGAATTTGATTTCGTCCACAGATGAGGAGACTTGTTGCAGCTTAAACTTTTTAATAAGATGTTTAACAAATAGTTATGGAAAAGATAGTTCGCCAATCTTTATAATGGATTGGATTGGAGACTATATAGAATTGAAAAACTTTACATAAATCCTGTCTAAATCTTTCTCAAAAATNTGGTGGTGGTGGAGGGGGAGGGGGAGGCGGCGGCGGCGGTGGTGGTGGTGGCGGTGGAGGAGGAGGGTTAATTTGATTCGCTGAAACCACGATGGCGAGTGGTGGAGGTGGAGAATGTGCCGATCCTGCAACCACCAATGATTCTGATGTGGTTGGCCTATTATAAGTAGCATTAAACACTGGTCTCTCCTTTGCTGAATCAAAATCATGGCTGTGTAAATGAAGCACTGGTATTTCTTGAATTGGCTGAGATTTTCTTCTCTTCTCTTCTTCATTCATAGGATTATTATACCAAACCTTAGAAACTTGTTTTGGGAAATCTCCCCCTTCGACTTTTCTTAAATACAGAACATCTAATCCATTTTCATCTACTATAACTCCTTTGACTGCTCCACCTTCTTGTCTAAATTCTGTGCAAGGCGATGCTGGTGCATCCTCCCTACGAAAACTCGAGTCAAAATTGTTTCTCTTACGCTGTCGAGCTATGGAATATCTGTAGAAAAAATAGAACAAAAAGCCAGTAATAATCAAACTGCACACTGCTGTGGCTGAAACAGCCTTTACTACTACTCCATTTTGTGACAAAGTCATTTGAGCCGACAGGATCTAAAGTTTGTAACTCGAATAGTATCAGAATTGCTAGTCAATCCTACTTCCGATACAATTTACAAATTTTCCATTTGGTGTTGACTTGCCATTGCGTTATTATTCTGGCTTTCATGTAGATTTCAATGGAGAAGACAAAAAATTCATTTACAAGAAATCTTGGTAGTTGGCATAACTTTGTGACTGTCTGCAAAGTAAATAGAGAACCTTAAGATAAACAAAGAAATATTGCCCCATTGGTCCTCAACCAATTTCTCGAGCAGCAAATTATGTGCAAGTTATTTTTGAATATTTTATTAATTCTAAACATTCTATTATAGTTGCATAATCAACTCTCAACAACGAAATCATTCTAATATTTGTTGAACTGTCTCATAATTCATAACCTATGTGGTAAAATGTGTCGATTCAACCGGAGTCAAACCAAGCTAAGAAACAAAATTTAAATTCAAAAAGGATGTGATGAACGAACAATATAATTAAAATTCGAAAAGTTTCATTGTGGAGGATTGATTTTTGCTATTTTTCCTATGGTTGCAAAATTAGTTTTCGACATTAGAAACTTTTCAATCTTTAAATTGTCATGTGACTCTCGTGAAAATATACATTAGTTCAATTATCAAGGAGCACAAGCTAAGGTTGAGAAAGAAAACCTAACTCCATAGTTGAAAAATGTTGCCATTTTTTGTCTTTTTTCCTTTTCGCCAAAGCAGCCTAAATTAGTGTCCGTCGCATATCGAAACAACATGATCTAAGGACTAAATGAACCTCCCTTTGCTCTCATTTCTTAAAACTCTTTTTTTTCCAATTTCATTTTCAACCACATATTTTATAGTATCCATAACTTTTTTCAACTTTTTAACTATACATTTCACCAACTTTTATCAAAACGTACTAACAATTTAATTTTTATTCAAATTTAACAGATGCTAAATATGGTATGTAGCCATGTATTCAATTTGATATAAAACCTTAAATACAAATCATTTTTGGCCCAATGCCGACTTAATAATGTTACAAGTCACTAACGTTAGTCTGTACTCGAAGACTGATTTCACAACTATGACAACTTGCTCCAGTTAAAGTTTAAAGTTTGAAGACCGAATCGCAACTTTGACAATAAATCGGGAACCAACGATGCAATTTTTGAAATAAAAATTATGGATTGTTTTCTCGTTGTAATTTGATGCAATCGAGGTCAAGGTTCTTGTCTGTATTTGAACATCGCTTGATGACAGTTTCAAAGAGATGGTTGAGGTAATTGCCCAATTTTTGCAATGGTTGAAATGATTGTTATATCCATGCTGCAAAGCATTTTATCAATGAAGTAGAGGAGTTTTGTGTAATTTGACAAATTTTAATATTAATATTTATTTTGTTGTAGTTTTAAATGGACAGACGGCTGGTGTG